CCTTGAATCATCTTGCATCTTAGTGAAAAATGGTCATGAAGTAGTGAATTTATTAAGGTCAAAACACTTAGAACTTTCCTATGTATTGGAAATCTTGACTTTTTTGTTGAATTTGTTGATTCTTGATGATCAAGTTTGATATTTTTGAATGTCTTGATGATTCTTGATCTTTGAAATTCAATGTTGACCAAAAAGTCAAAGTTCGACTTTTTGTGTGATTGTTGACTTTTCATCAATTGATCCCAATTTCCACTTTCAATCCCTTTATCTTTAGAAATGATTTGAGCCATAAAATTAGGTCAAAATATTGTGTTTGAGTCCTTGAGATCATGTTTCAAGCCATTAGATCATGTACTAGGTCAAAAGTCAATGATCAGTCATTATAAGTCAAAACCCTAATTTTGACAATTTTGCCCTTTGATGATTTGAGTGCTTTCCTTGAGGAATTATGATCAAACCTTGATCAAATGATGAATATCACATCAAAATGTTGATGTTGGCAAAAATCTTGAAGTTTGACTGTATGTTGACCTCAGTTGACTTTTTACCCAATACAGTTGATTTTCAGTCATCTAAGCAATTGACTGGTCAAATTTGTGATGCAAGACTTGAAATTTGGTATAAGAATTTTTGGAGATCTATAATGAACCATGAAAGTCACTTGAGGCATTAAAATCCCAATTTTCCTTGAGAAAACCAAAACCCTAGTTGTGGACCCAGTGCATAGGAGGTGAGCTTGTCTGACCAGCTCTTTAGAATCTTTGAGCATTTGAGAACTTTTATGAGAAATATCTTGAAGAAAAGGGAGGGAAAATTTTTGGGTACAACAACTTCCCCTGTTCAATATTCTTAAACCTGAAGAGTTAGATTGACTCGTCCAATATTCGTGACTTGAGGTGGAAGATAATTGAACACTTAATTGCTCAGAAATTTGCACTCGCTTATGCACGAAGTAATGTTGTTGGTTGAATATGTCTGGTGTGATACGATGGGAGAACTGACTTGAGGTTTTGTGTTTGCAAATGTTGCGGTTTAGCAAGAGTCGCCATTGACTTTTCTTTTATCCAAAAGGAAAGGTGAAAAAGCACAGGAAAGACCTTTGAGATTGTTTCTTGAGTTCGGGGGGTAGATTATGAAAAGGGAAGGTATTAGCATCCTTTTCATCTGTGGTTTTCCACGGGCTCTTAGTTACTTGCTAGATTACTTGCTTTTTGTTTGAATTTGTGTTTTGTGTGGTTTTGAAAGTATTTTGAAAAGGTGTCATCGTTTAGGCAAACTTTGGAATGATTCCCGTTCGTAAGAATGTATGATAAGTGTTGAGCTTTTGAAAATATTTCAAGTTTTGGAAAGATGTTTTTTGAAGATGTTTTGAAAGTGTATGTGATTGTTTTCGAAAATAGCAAGGATATTTATTTTGAAATTGAGCAAGTAACTAAAAGTAATCTACCTACTCAAAGGTCTTAGATGTGTTTTTCCTCCTCCTTTAGATGTTTCTATCTTACCATTGATTTGGTAAGAAGCCCCAGCGTTGGATGTGAAGGGACGAGCGTTGGGTCATCGTATGACCATGATAACAATGTTGTGAGATGACTTAGCACTTTTCTTTAGGGACTAAGATCATTTTGAAAGGCAAATTTGATAGCGTCATCGAGGGACTATAATCTTGTATTTTTCGATTTGTTTGTGATAAGACATCCCACATGCATAACATGGCCATTTTTATAAGGCAACAAGTGGAATTACCTTAAGGGTGTAAGTGTGCGAGTGTATTTGATTTCATGCATAATTTATCTTGATTAGGGTGATCTATTTGTCAATTTTCATATCTTGTCATACACGCCCTAATTACTAGCATATATTGAAAGCAAGAACGGTGCAGATATGTAAAGTCCTACGCTATTACAATTTTTAGGGGGATGGGGGTACATATTTATGAATGGGGATTGTAAAATTAAAATTCTAAGTTACTATTACAACCATATTGAAATAGATAAGAATGTACAGGAAATGTAAAATGCTTATCTGTTTAAAAGGGAAATAACCTTTGTTTAAGAAAATATTTTTTGGGTTTTTTATGCTAAAAGAAAAATATAACATGCAAAATATAAAATATTTTTGCTGTTTTTTATTAATAATAAAAATAATATGAGGGCAAGATAATAAAACAGAAAGAAAACATGATCAGCGCAAAGTGCTGAAAATAGAAGAGGTCACAAGTTCTGATTCTGACTTGCTGCACAAAGAAAAACATGTTAGCAAAAAGATGGAAGTTCAGAAGTTCTGGATCTTCTGAGAACTCAAAAGTTTTTTTCAGAAGTTCTGACGCAACTGTCAGAACTTTGCCTCTCTCCATGCCAATCAGAACATCTGCAACTTAGTCATTTACAGAACAGAAGTTGCATGCATAATAATTATGACAAATTTCATGAAATATCAGAAGCACAAATCAGAAGCAGCATGTATTTGTTAATTCTAATTCTGAGTCCTAATTTCTTTATGAAACTCTAAACTGGGATTTCTTTTACTTAGGCAAGCAAACGCATGAATTTTCAGAATATGTACATCATCAGGATAAGAATATCTACATTATGCTAAATATGAAAAATCTGACAATGCTTAATCAGTTATGATGAGGGTCAGCAGAAAACTTACCTTGTAACTGGAAAGGATTCTGTGAACTGGAGGTTGGTCTTGAATTCTAGTGATGTTCTGAGTAACTTCTTCACGTGCTCAGCAGGATAGAAGTTGACAACTTCTAGAACAGCTAAGGGGTGAAGTTCTGATCCTTTTGAAATGGATATTGGTGGAGAATGTGTTACTGTTTGATTACAGAATTTGGGATGGTTTTAATCAAGAACACTTGAGGAAAAATGGAGCTTGAATAGAACGCTAAGATTTTGGTATTTTGTGTTTATAGTTTCCTAGGTTCTTGGAATTTTTGCAGTGGTTCAAATCTTTCTTTCTCAATTCTCTCGCCTCTTTCACAAATTTTCTCTCTTTCACAAATTTTTCTGGCCTTTTTCAGTGTGCAAATGGTGTTCTATTTATAGGAAAAGTTTTGCAGTTGGGGCGGTCAAGTGGTGCTAACATCATGTGCTAGGTGCTGACTTACTCTTGAAGTAAGCTTAAACAAGTGGGGGTTCAATGCATTCAAGTTGGATGGTTAACAGCGCCCCAGCTGGATCTGGCAGCGTGAATTAATGAAAAGTAGAGACAGCGCGTGGGTCTAGCATACTTTTGCACAGAAATTTGTCTTCCCAAGGCAGTAGGGGTACACGTGGTGTGAATCCATTGGATAAAGACTCAGAGGCGGTTGTGTGCATTAAATGGGTTCCCATGTGAAACTCCGCACTCTTGCTTGAATCTGGATTGGAAGTTCTGCTTCAGCGTAGCATCTCATCTTCTGATCTTTGTATCTTCTGGCTTCAGCATATTCCGAGGGATCCTTCAGAACTTCCAGTATACTTACAGCACACTTTGTTACCTTCTTTGTTTTAACCTTTGCAAACTCTGACTGAACCTTTGTGAAAACTGGTCCAGAAGTTCTGACCAAACTCTGTCTTGAGAATATCCAGAATTTGCAGAGTGTGAACACTGGCCCAGAAGTTATGAAATTGTCATATTTCCTAAATACTTAGAAAAAATTCTAAGTTTTTAGAATTTGATTTTTTCCAAAGTAAAATTTGATTTTTGAAACTCTTGATGAAACAAACTTCATATTCCAACATGTCTTGATGAAATATGATTTTTGAGATTTGATTTTGATCCAAGAATTTAATCAGAGCTTGTGCATGGGCGTCGAAACATAGCAATAAGGACAACATTGATATTTTAGAAGTGGTTTGCCCCAACTGTCCTACTATTTTGAAGTCACTTTTCTTGATGATTCTCAGAATTTCCTCCATCTCTTGTTTGCGTCTATTTCTTTTCAAATTACGTACTTTCATTATTAGAGTAATTGAGCATAAAGAGGACATTCATAAAAACAAATGACCAAAACTCTATTCCCTCCCGACAGCATATTTCACTCCACCATATTTTCCTTTGCGCGACTCGAATGTCAATCTTCACAAGAAGCTCAATAATATAGAAATCAAGGGAACTTCTTTATTCATTTGTTATAAAGATACAGTTTCCACTAGACAACTTGGTCGGTATCCAACACCAATGAATATTTCCATGACAAAACTATGGAGTAAAACACCAATGGTTTATGGAATTAAGACTTCCTAAACCATTATTCTATTTTTCATATTTAAATTACTTGGATTGCTTTTCTCATCCCCTCATGTTTTTCAATTTAGATATCCTCACATTGATTGCTATGGAATTAATCAACTAACCAATGCTACCAATCATAAACACACCTTTTCCCTAGAAATACAGCTGGCCCGCCAATCACTAATTCTTGTTAGCTCACTGGCAAAAACTAACAAAATGGAAGACTTCATACAACACAATAAAGTACCAAGTGTGAAAACAGTGCTCAATTATTCTTACTTTCTTCAAGAAAGACATTGCTAGATAAGAACATAAGCAATATTGCAATATCAAAACTCAAGTTGCATGGACGAATTCAAAACTCAAGTTGCAATATCAAAACTCAAGTTGCATGTCTCGAGGATATTCAAGCCAGTACTTTAGGTTTGCATTCTGCAGTACATTGTTGAGTTGTATGGACGAATTCTGAGTATAAAGATACAGATAACTGTACGGCAAAATATTGCTCACAGAAATTAAGCTAGAGATGTTTAATTAACTACAAGGAAAAGTAACAAAATCTGCAAATAATGCAACTATTCTAGACTTAATGTTTTGATCAATAATCAATATCTTCATATGCAAAGTTGTTCTGCAAAGTCTATCTGTATTATACTTTTTGACATCAGATATATTGACATTTCACTAACTGCCATGAAATTTTCTGATAGATATTAACTGCAAGTACCTTATATAATCAATTAGAACCCCCTGATATATAATGACACCTACACAGAAAATCAGAAGTCTAAAGATCCACATTGTTTGCTCTCAATGCTCTTTCTTCCATGGCTTTCATTTTCTTCCTTGCAACCAACTTCAACCCGACTCCGTCCAATTCCCAATTTAGGCAAACCTCGGTTCAATCCATCAAGCAGAACACAAGCTTTACACCACTTCTGTACATGAAAAGGTTATTGTATCTCAGCAATTCAAGTTCAGATGACCCAATAGTGAAATCAAAGGGAGAAAAAGACTGAACAAGACCTTAAGGATTAAGAACCCCCATTACAATACAGCCCATTGAGCCCAAGGAAAATATCAGATGAAACTGATCATTAAGTCGAATTTAACAGAATTTTTTGAAATTAGCGAGAATATCAATGTTGAAAAACAAAGTTAGCAATATAAAATAACAACTTAATCCGTCCATAAGCCTACTCAAATTGAGATTTGTTTATAGTGGCATGAAAGCAAGACTAGTTGAAACAATCTTATTCAAAGTAAACCATCAATGTGGATTGAAAAGCAGCATTGTATACATGAAACCAACTTTTCCCATGTTAATATTCAACCATGTGGGGGAGCGAGGAAAATACCTGACTTGAAATATAACCACATCGTTCACACGTACCCTGCTCCGGCATTTTAGTAGTGGTAGAAATCCTGAAATTCTCTCCGGATTTGATGATGTCGAGAATGGCCCTGGGTCTGCATTTTCATAAATATGAACATGAGTCAAGTCAATGGAATACTGTAAATAACAAACAAACACGGAAAAGTGATAGGGTTTTACCACCTGATTCTCTCCAAATCCTTGATGAACTCGCGAGCAAAACCACGATAAGCATTTGGAGAATAAATACATTCAGTTGAAAAGTAATCAAGCTTCTTGAAATAAGCATACATAACAATCTCTTTTTCATAAGTATACTTGAAAGGTTTACATCTAGGGATTGGTCCATCTTCCCCAGTCACAATTGAACTACATCTACTCAATCTAGCTATATCACCTCTCAATATGTTCAACAGAATCGTCTCGGCAATATCATCGGCGTTGTGTCCTGTGACCAGTTTATCCACCTTCAGGAAAGCCGCTCCCCGATCAAGCGCCTGGCGACGGAATACGCCGCAGAAGGTGCAATTGTTCTTCAAACCGATCAGTTTAACAATCTCGTCCATCGTCCAGCCGTACAAATCCTTGTAGGACACAACTTTGAGAGGCAATCCATACTGAATCTGGTTTCGATGAACGGTTTCGAGAGAATCGTCGCGGTAGCCGGTGATGCCTTCGTCGACGGAGAGGAGGAAGAGATGGAGGCCGTAATCGCGGTCGCGGTTGAGTTTGGATAAAACGTAGGCGAGGACGGTGGAGTCTTTACCGCCGGAAGCGCCGATAGCGACGCGGTCGCCGCGGGTGAAGAGACGGTTGGAGAGGATGATTTGGTGAATTTCGTTTTCGAAGGCGAGATAGAAACATTGAGTGCAAATCTGTTGAAGGGTTTTGGGTCTTTTGAGAGAAGCTCTTCTTTCGTTGCATAAACAGCAGATGCGCACGTTTCTCTTCCCTTCCATTCTCTTTACGACCACCTAAACCCTAACTATCTTCAAACAACAGCACCAAAAACAATACTTTAAGTATCTGTTTCATAGCACCATTTTGAAGCTAATATTTTAACTTAAATATATTTACTTCAATTTTTTATGAGGGAAATGAATCGGAGGTAATTAGATTTATTTCTGGAACCGTTTTTCAATCCCTAGGAATTTGGGGAGGGATGGACTGAAAAGATTTATGATAAAAACTTATTTTTATTATATTGATAAAATTACTTATACGTTGTTGTTAAAATTTTAAATTATCCTTAGTAAATATTATGTTTTAATATTTGTTCTTTTATTAAAATTTCTCTATATATTTTTCCGACAATTCTATTATTTTTATTAATAAATTTACTTTTTTTTTCGAATGTTTTATTTTTGTTTATTTTCATTGTTTGTAAAAAAGATTTTTACAATAAGAAACTTAGTCTATTTCATTATTCAAATAATATTCATTTCTTTTTCCTGTCAAATAACTTCTTGCACTCATTGACTCTATTATATGATTTAGGAGTGTTGTCACTGATCTTCCTTGTTATCATCTGAAAATATGTCTTTTTCAATGCAATTCTTTCTTCTTCTTTCTTTACCATATCAAAACACTTATCATCCTTGTTCATTGTATCAGAAAGTATCTTTCCTGAATCTCACCCAGAGTCAGAGTAGGATGCCTGCTCTGATATCAATTGAAATTCTAGTAGTCAGATCACAAATGTTCTAAGAGATGTCGAGACACTGATCTTTGAACAACAACACAGTGAACAAGTGTAACAATAAAACATGGCAGAAAAGTAAAGGAATACGCAGAATTGTTAACTCAGTTTGGTGTACAACAACACCTACTTTTGGGACTACCAAGCCAGGAACAAAATCCATTAAAGAGTATCAATTCAAAGCTAAATTCATTTATTTACAACTTCTTACTTAATCACTACACGTGCTTAATTTCTACCTAAGACTCACTTAGGTATGAGACCACTTTTAATTCCCTTTTAATCGCTATAGTGATCGAACAATTCTAACACTTAGAATATTTTTGAAGACACACTTCAAAGACAATACTTAGACAAGACTCTTGACTAAGAATATTACTTCAGCAGCTAACACACACCAGAGTACCATGAAGAGAAATAGACTCTCATATAGTGTTCAGATTGGAGACTGGCATCAACAAACCAGGAAAATACATCGCTCCCGTCAAAGTATTTATCATCAGTCACATGCACACATTCATCAGAGGAAAATTTCCTCATGTTCCTTTCTTCACAGTTTCTCTTAGAGGTACAATCAACTGATAAGTCTACCTCCTCACAAACGGTAGATCATTTGGTCTGACATCATTCTTCTGCACACTAGCACACATGGATTCAAACAGTAATGACTGATATTCACTCCACACGTGATCAACACTGCCTGATACAATCTTAGATATTTATCTCTTAGACTTCCAAAAAAGCATCCTACCTTAGTTCCAACAAAACAAGAGTTTCATGTTCTCATTGACATGATAATAAGATCAAATTTAAGTAAACAACCTTCGTCCTATTTAAGAAGACCAGTTAGTAGTCAGCCTACTTAACACAACCAGACATATTGAGAAAAATAAATTCTCAACATAATGATGTCAAGATATTATATCTGACATTTCTTCAAGGCCCTCCAACTCCAGATTAGGGACTCCCCCTCAACAACTTCTAAGAACACCTTGAGAATCATTCTCCCTCTCGACAACAGCACAACTTATGGTTAGTGGTTAGTGCATACACACATTACACCCCTTTTTCAACTCAATCGGAACATGTTCTATTAGAGAAAGAACACACAATTCTGGCTTCTTTGAACAAAAAATCATCCAGATGCCAGAGAGAATGTCCTTGATATTTTAACTTGTCCTTCATTTAGATAGAAGCAGGTTGGGATAACAAGCCTTCATTAGAGATTAGAGCTCAGCTTTTGCACTCTTACTTACTTGGATCAGAAGTTAATGACCCAATAAGTAATCAATAGTTTGACCATCTCTTGACCAACCCACTTATCTAAGATATGTTTCTTGGATAAAGACTTCTTAGATACACAACCCAGACGCCTCTTTAAATACGGAAGAAGAATCCAAACATGTGTGACCAACACACATTTGTTGAACATCCAGAGAATATGCTATGTAATTCCTTTGTCTAAACAGGATTCGACATACTTTGATGTTTTGATGTTCCAACATCTAGTAGAGCATCAATTCACTTTCCAATGAACATACTATTGAGCTTGATTCAGACGCCATTACTCCTTCAATAAAAATATAAAAAAATCTTGATCACCTTCAAGTTCTTCTGAAGAAGTGAAAAACACAAGAAGGGGGGTTGAATTGTTTAAACTTGAAATCAAATGCAAACAACACATTATTTTTATACTGGTTCGTTTGATCTCAAACTACTCCAGTCCACCCGTCAAGGTGATTTCGCCTCTCTCCAACGAGGACTTAATTCACTATATTCAACTGAATATTACAACTGCTTTAACAACTGCTAAATCCTTCTTGAGTCTAAACCACAGACCGGTTTCTCAAGGAAATTCTTTCTTACAGATAGATGAACAATATGTGTGTTGAGTGTTTTCTGGAAAAACTATATATCACAACTGTGATACTACACAAATTAAGCTTATGTGAAACTTAGAATGCTAGAACTATAGAGTAAGCAAATTGAGAGCTTTAGCAAACTGTATGAGTGAGGATGAAGATGATTTGCTTTAGGCGTGTAGAGTAATGTAGAGCATTAGCCAATTCACTTCTCACTGATTTGTTTAAATACTTCTTGGAATAGATACGTTGATGCCAATAATTCCATTTCAATGCACATTACGTTCTTTCCATATTGAGAAGATCTTTGTCTTGGAATAAAGTCGTTGGTAATTAATCTGCCTTGAATGCAGTACCGTTGACACTTCAGAATGTTCTGCTTGATTAAGATCAGAGCGTTCTTGGCTTTAGGCTTATTCTGATCGCTTCTGAGTGCTGATGACATTGATGAGATCCTGATCAGAGTCAGAGTATGTTGAGCGCCGATTCTGTTCATCAGACTTCAGCGTAAGCATATGTAAGATCTTCTGGTTGACATCTTCTAATGCTGATGTTGATATTCTGATGTTGATTCCATCAGAGTTTCCTGTAAATAAACAGCATAATTTTAAGTAGCATATATGTCATATAAATCTCATAATTCATTTTAATCTTGTATTTTGTTATCATCAAAACTCTAACTGAGGGTTGTAGAATCAAACTATGTTCTAACAATCTCCCCCTTTTTGATGATGACAAAAACTAGATTTTTTTTCAATTAAAATAAAATGATGAAAGTATCAGAATTAAAGTATAAAGAGGAAACAGTATCAGAGCTAATCAGATAATGAGAAAAAGTTTCAGAGCTAAGAGGGTAAGGAATAAAAGTATCAGAGTAATGATGAGAAAAACTCCCCCTGAGTTGATTATTTTCCTTTGATTCCTTAAGACCTTGAGTATCAGAGCTTTAGAACTTTATTGAACCTTTATTTGAGCATCCGAATTTTGCTTCATCAGAGTTCTGCAGATTCTTGTACCTGTAAGCTTTTCAGAACAGCAAGTATATACGGATGTTAAAATGTTTGAGACTTTTGTCTCAGTAAACCGTTATTGAAAAATATCATTCTTTCTCCCCCTTTTTGTCAGCGATCAAAAAGCATATATAATCAGAGTTTAAAGTGATCAGAGTAAAAACACGTTTATATTAAACAAAAGCAATGATAGTTTAGAACAAGTAGAAATATTACAGACAAACATAAGAAAACATGGAAAACATAAGAAAAATCTAAGAAGAAAAAGGAAGTCGTGAGCGCTTTCAACATGCTCTTGATTTGTTCGCTGGTTTCATTCTGCTTGGCTACCATGCTTGCTATAGATTCAATCTTCATATCCTGCTTGTCCATCCGTTCATTCATCAGCATATCTGATCTCTTTAAATCATCCAGAGCCTGCCTGTCAACAGAGGAGGCTTGAGGATCTTCAGATACATACTGCTTCTCAGAGCTTTCTGTAGCTTCTTCTGCTTGACCCAAGTCTTCAGCTTGAATAACCTGTTCTTCTGCAGCTTGAACTTGAGATGCTGGACGCTTTTTAGACCAAGGCTTACTGTCCAGATGCAGAACTTCTTCCTTCAGCACTTTGCTCAGAACTGGACCTTCCATTTCCTTCAACAGATTGCTGAAGTTTTGCTGAACCTGTCCATAGCTCTGGTTTTGCAGCTTGAGGGTTTCATCCCTTACCCATCTTCTGAATTGAATCCAGAGATGATATGATATAGCAGGATCAACTACTTCAAAACTTGCTTGTTTCAAGTAAGATAACCATTTCTGCATATCTGATTCAAAGTTCAAAATGCTGCGACCAACATCTGGTTGTTTAGGTCTAAGGATGGCAGTTTTCTGGTTTAATGCAGCAAGGCGTTCAAGGACTGTTATGTCAATGACTGTCTTGCTGTGGTTTTCTGTATTTTTCTTAGGTGAGGGAGTAGGAGAATCAGAAATAACGATTGGACTATGTGGGGAGTTTGGAGGAGTTGTTTCTGGTGATGAGGGAAGTTGAGCCATATTAACAGTTGTACCACAAGGCAATTGAATGGCCAAGGGTTGTGGTTCAGGAGACCCAGAGGTTTGAGCCTCAGAGTTTTGAGTTTCAGGTTGTGGTGATTGTGCGTGTGGAGGAGATGGTGGATTATTTTCTGGTTGGGGAGAGGAAGGTTGTGGAATTTCTGGTTCTGGTATTGGAGTGAGGGGAGTTTCTGGAATGGGTGAAAGTGTTTGGATTTTGTGGTTTGGAGCGGGATCTTCTGAGAGTTAATGACTCAGAGGGGTCGAAATCTTCAAAATCTTCAAAGGTTTGGGGTGTTGGGATATCAGATGAAATTGGAATGGGAGTAGGAATAGATGTGGAAACAACACTTGAA